GAGAAGATGTTGAGTCGAGCAGAGAGTGGAGAGATTCCCAAGACTCTCACTCAAATGTACACACACTTCCTGATCCTTCAGATCAACATCAAACATGAGAAGGACTATGAGAAGAACGTGACAGATGAAGACATGATCCTCAAACTGGGGAAACTGGCTTTTCAGCAGCTTGTGAAAGGCAATGTGATCTTCTACGAGGAAGACCTGAGAGAGTGTGGCATTGATGTGACAGAAGCATCAGTGTACTCAGGATTGTGCACTCAGATCTTCAGAGAGGAGTTTAGCTTGTATCAAGGGAAAGTCTTCTGCTTTGTTCATCTGACTGTTCAGGAACATCTAGCGGCTCTATATGTGCACCTCTTTTTTATAAAGAACTGCTCACAAATTTTCTCTAGTTTGTCCTCTGACCTCTCAATGTTTTTTAAGTATACTTTATCAGACCTACATCAGAGAGCTGTGAATGAGGCTCTACAGAGTAAAAATGGACATCTGGACCTTTTCCTGCGGTTTCTTCTGGGTCTGTCAGTGGAGTCTCATCAGATTCTCCTACAAGGACTAATGAAACAGACAAGAAGCAGCTCTGACAGCAATGAGGAAACAGTTGAGTACATCAAGATGAAGATCAGGACCATTGACTCTCCAGAAAAATCCATCAATCTGTTCCACTGTCTGAATGAACTGGGTGATCATTCACTAGTGGAGGAAATACAACAGTATCTGAGATCTGGATCAATAAATAAAGCCAAACTCTCTTCATCTCAGTGGTCAGCTGTAGCTTTTGTGTTGTTGACATCAGAGAATATGCCGGATGAGTTTGACATTAATAAATTTGTTGAAGGAAACAATGAAACCAAAAAACTGGAAGTTTTTCAGAAACTGCTGCCTGTGATTAAAGAATCCAGATCAGTTCAGTAAGTATAACTGAAAACAATCACTTCACTGTTAAAACATTAAGAAAATAAAAGATCAAATAGCCTCAGTGCTGCAGATGCTATCCAGAGTTTATTAGTCAGTCTTTTGATGTGTTTTCTAATCAATAACAACATAAGATTTTGAAGTCAGAGCAGTTGCATATGAATAAATTAGATTTATCAGTTATTCAAATGTTTTGTTAAACCACTGACATTGTGCAATAATCTTATTTATCTTTCTTTAACGAGCCTGATGCTCTGTGGCATTTTAGATCTCAGTCCGATGATCCATCAAAAGTTGATTTGTGCTTTAAGTTTGTATTTTTCTCTTCAATAATGGATTTACTGCTTAACTGATCTCAGAGAATGAGGAATGTCATTGTTCTCTACAGGTTGAGGAATTGTGGTCTCACAGATGGCTTCTGGCTTCAGCTCTGAGATCAAACCCCTCACACCTGAGACAACTGACTCTGTCTAATAATAATCTAGGAAGTTCTGGAGTAAATTTTCTCTTTACTGTACTCAAGGATCCTCAGTGTAAACTGAAGAGTCTGTGGTAAGATTGGAACACACCATGAAACACAATGTAAAGTACAGGTGCATCTCAATAAATTAGAATGTCGTGGAAAAGTTCATT